TACATCTTACAGGTTTCCCCATGGGCTGTCTGTTGGCAGTCAGTGCAGCAATTGTGTGGATTAGGAAGAGAAGTCAAGTCTACTGGTGGTGTACATAATTTTTTCTGATGTCATTCACAAAGCACAACATTAATAAAGCCACAGGATTCAAGACCTCAGTGACTGCAATTCCACTGAGCAAGGAAGGGCAAGATGTAGCAAGTTTCACCTCTTTCCTTCATTTTGAAACTACAGGGGAGACTACAGGCCTGTCAGCCTGACCTCAGTTCCTGGCAAGGTTATGGAGCAGATCATCCTAAGTGCAATCCCACAGCACCTACAGGATGGACAAGAGATCAGACCCAGCCAGCACAGGTTTAGGAGGGGCAGGTCCTGTCTGACCAACCTGACCTCCTTTTATGATCAGGTGACCTGCCTGCTGGATGAGGGGAAGGCTGTGGATGTGTCTACTGGACTTCAGCAAAGCCTTTGACACCGTCTCCCACAGCATTCTCCTGAAAAACCTGGCAGCCCATGGCTTGGACAGGGGCACCCTGTGCTGGGTTAAGAACTGGCTGATGGCCAGGCCCGGAGAGTGGTGGTGAACGGGGCTGCATCCAGTTGGCAGCTGGTCACTAGTGGTGTCCCCCAGGGATCAGTGTTGGGCCCAGTTGTGGAGGACGAGATATCAGAGCGGAAAAAGTTCCAAAAGTGGACAGAAGTTTATGGAAGCTAGGAGAAGACACTACTAACTGATTTTAAGGACTTTAGAATGTTTATAAAATTGTTAATCCATGCATATACCAATGGATCCCATTTATTCCTATTGCTCAGACATGTTCACACTTGTTCACCCCCTGTTCTCTTGTTCCTCTCTCTGACTGGCTAAGATTTGCCACAGTGTGGAGTTAGCTACCATTGGTCTCCAGTTATCTCCATGTCCCTTCTACCTTTCCTAATTCACCCTTTGGTTCATCCCCTCATCTGTCCATCCCATGCTCCACCTTTTCTTCCAGCACCTTCCCCCTGAGCCCTATAAAAGGCAGCACCCTCCTTCAATAAACTTGTGATAGCCTCAGACCTTCCGCCTTGCAAAGACCCCTTATTGTTGTCGTCGTCACCATCCAAACCTGGACCGTGGCACCCAGTTCTGTTTAATATCTTTATTGGTGATCTGGATGAGGAGATTGAGTCCACCATCAGCAAATTTGCAGATGACACTAAGCTGGGGGGGAGTGTTGATCTGCTGGAAGGCAGGAGGGCTCTGCAGAGGGATCTAGACAGGCTGGAGAGTTGGGCAGATTCCAACAGGATGAGGTTCAACAAGGCCAAGTGCCGGGTCCTGCACTTTGGCCACAACAACCCCATGCAGTGCTACAGGCTGGGCACAGAGTGGCTGGAAAGCAGCCAGACAGAAAGGGACCTGGGAGTTTGGATTGACAGGAAGCTGAACATGAGCCAGCAGTGTGCCCAGGTGGCCAAGAAGGCCAATGGTATCCTGGTCTGGATCAGGAACAGTGCTGGCCAGCAGGACCAGGGAAGTGATTCTTCCACTGTACTCAGCACTGGAGAGGCCACACCTGGAGTGCTGTGTCCAACTCTGGGTCCCTGAGTTCAGGAAGCATATTGAGGTTCTGAAGCAGGTCCAGAGAAGAGCAATGACGCTGGTGAAGAGACTTGAGCACAAGTCCTATGAGGAGAGGCTGAGGGAGCTGGGGCTGTTCAGCCTCGAGAGGAGGAGGCTCAGGGGAGACCTCATCACTCTCTACAACTTCCCAACAGGAGGTTGTAGCCAAGTGAGGGTTGGTCTCTTCTCCCAGGTAGCTATCAGTAAGACAAGAGGGCATGGTCTTAAGCTCTGCCGGGGGTGGTTTAGGTTAGATATTAGGAAGAAATTCTTTACAGAAAGGGTAATCAGGGATTGGAATGGGCTGCCCAGGGAAGTGGCGGATTCTCCATCCCTGGAGGTTTTTAAGATGAGACTGGATGTGGCACTTAGTGCCATGGTCTAGTAACCGCAGTGGTAGTGGATCAAGGGTTGGACTTGATGATCTCAGAGGTCCCTTCCAACCCAGTTTTGATTCTGTGATTCTATGACTCTTTCCGCCTAAGTAGCTCAGGGCAGTGGATGAGGAGTGGGTCTAGCAAACCACCATAAAGATGTGGAAGAGAAGTTACTAGGTTGTGTTCACAGGTATGACCACAGACAGAATACTCCAGACTTGCCACATGCCACTGGCACATGAGAGAGTGAATAATGAAGCTTCATTCTTTCTGATCAGCCCAAAGGGTCTTGCAAACATCCTGTCTTATGCAGACTGTGCAAGATTTGGGTATAAGAGCTTTCTGGTTTTCACAAAATGAGGCACATGCTGCAGCCTGATCTGCAGCCCCCTGGCTAGGTATTTGGTGTTGTTTAGCAATTCTAAAATAGGAGATGTTTTATGATCTGTGTTTCTTCTTGTATATCTTTTCACATATTTGCTTAATTAGGTTCTGCATTATCATTTTTCCAATGAGCATTTGATTTTCATTCCTAATACCAAACTAAGATCAATGATTCATGAATACCATGTTTCCATTTAGTGTAAACTTGTGAGTAAACATCACCACCTAAACTAATAAAAATAAAAAGAACAGCAGAATACAGAGTGGATCACAAATCTCTCACTGATCTCTCTGTATTTATTGTCTTAGTGGTATAAAGTGCTTGCCTTCTTTCAAATGATTATTTATTTTGTTTATACTCATGATGTTTGATTCATCCTCTGATTCACTAGAGCCTTCTTTCCTTGTTTAACTCAGGAGAAATGTTGGTCTTAACTCATGTTAGAAAATTAGTATTGCCAATGCTACTTCTCAGTCCTTGTGAGCTCCCAATCCCTGTGGGTGAAATTCATCTTCCTGGAAGGGGAGAAAGGGAGAAGAGAATCTGCTCCAGACCTATGCACCATTTTAGTCCACAGAATAGAGTCTACTGGGAGATCATGATACTTAACTCTTCCCATCAGAGGTTGACAAGTCATCTAGTAGTTAATCATGAATCTAATAATGACTGTCAATCCAGAACCTCGTCCCTGTAAAGATGCAGCAGTCTGCTCACAGCTTTCACGTTGCAGATCCAAGCCTATGACTCAGACCCATAAAAGGATTTAGATATCTGAAGTAAGTCGTCAGCAGATTTTCAGTCAAAACATTCAAGCCTCGTGACCTCTGTGTAAACACACTGCTAAGTAAATCTTAGAGGCACCTAATATTTCAGGCACGCAGTTTGATGGTTGCTTCTTGTTCAGCTCAGTATCTGTGCAGCTGTGACTCAGGAAAGCCACTGCTGAATTTGTACCTTCAAGGCCCACAGGGGATCCCTGCCTCAGTCCTGAGAAGCAGAGTTTAGCAGGCACACTCAAATCACATCCAACACACCCCAACAGTTTGTTTAAAGCTATTGTCAGCCAAGAGAATTCTGGTAATAGCATGTGTATATAACAACAGCACACAGTAGATGTCTACTGGCATATTTTCGTGTCACTTGCTATACACAGCTCCTAAAATTAGTAGTTCAAAACACTTTTTTAAAATACACTAAATATTTTGTTTGGCTCCAGAAAGGATAAAAAGTGCACTAGTACCTTGAGGACTAGCCAGAATTTTGTCTTTCAAAATTGAATTCTGAAAGAAATCACAGACCTTGTTCTCCCAAAATTAGAGTTTGGTTTTCTAATATGTACACTGGCTATGACAACTACCCACCAACTGAATTCTTGCTCCCGTCTCTCAAATTTCCATCAGTCAATAAAGCTTTTCATGGAAAAATGTTGTTTTCCCTTGACTCCACATAGAAATTACACATATAAATTAGTGAACTAAAAAGTGAGCTGAGGAATATTCACTGATAATCAAGGACATTGATAATTTACAAGTATCTCCAAGACGCTGTCAAAAAGAGGATCAGAAAATGTCAGGCTAATATGTGTTTGCATCATACAGCATGCAATACCATCATACAGACTGTACATGAAGTTATCCACATTTCATGGCAACAATGAACAAAGTGACCAAGATTTCAAATATCACACAAATCATCACTGTAATTAGTCACTAAGTAATGACTACTACACATAACAGAGTGTACTGAATAACTGATAATCTGTAGTGCCAATGAAAAGCAAATATATAGCTTATCTCATTATTAATATAATAATTAATTTGGACACAGATCCTTCACTCATCCTTAAACGAGGACTGTTAAATCTGAAATAAAAGGTCAGTTCACTTCTCCATCACATCAGCTACTCTGAGAAGGTGTACAATTATAATCAGGAAATGCATAATTATAACACATGATACAATTTAATCCAGTAAATCAAAATATTTTTTGTATTTAATCATTTGTATGTTACCAAGAAAAACAGAAAGCATGAGGTCATTTACCTGCTATTAATCCTTTCCAAGCACTCTTGTATCTTTGTGTACCAGCCTAGGACCCCTACTTAATCACTCATTTCATATACTACAAGACATGCCCATTTGCAAAAGGATTTTCTTCCTTAGCTTCAGAAGCATCCTATGTCACATTTATATTTTAATGGCTATATCCTCTGGATTGTAAATTTATATGAAATTAGTAATACAATTTAGAATTATTTTTCTCTGTATGGAAGTTGGTCCAGATTGTTTTAAAGCTTTGTCATTTTATGAGCATCTTGTATACTGCTCCACTAAATTAAGAGTTACAGGCTTTCAAATGTTACTACATTTTTAGAGTATCAAGTTTAGATACATTACAAAGACTCCAATCTCTAAAAAACTCTTTAAAATTATCCAGAGTGGGGCACACAAAGTTTGAATCCATAGCTCAGATTCACCAGTTCCTTTTGGAAAATCAAATTATCTTCTTTTTATAGACATATCTGCTATTTTATCTGATGTTCAAAAGCATCAAATACATCTAATGATGTTGTTTAAAATCCATGTTGAGACTCCTGAGACTGCAGAGTCTCTGAGAATATCTTACCTATGTCTTGCTCATCCTCACCAATGCTGTGCAGCCTGTTTTTGTCCTCGCACTCTCAGGAGTCTTGACCTGCCATGACAGCAGAGATGCAGGTGGGCTCTGCAGCATGTCAAGCAGTAACTCAGAAGTCTGTTCAATACAAAGATCAGAACCTTGTCAGTGCACACACAAGAAAGAAGGCTCCTGTTCTTCCTGAAGACTGGTGGTTGACAAATAGGTTTAGTACATTATACGACAGGTATGAGGACCTGAAGCTGGACAGACTGACTATTGAACCATAGAGTGGTGTGGGTTGTAAGGGATCTTAAAGATCATCCAGTTCCAACCTCCCTGCCATGAGCAGGACACCTTGGACACCTTCCATGAGACCAGGTCGCTCAGAGCCCCATCCAACCTGGCCTTGAACACCTTCAGGGATGGGGCATCCACAACTTCTCTGAGCAACTTGTTCCAGTGCCTTACCAACCTCACAGTAAAGAACTTTTTCCTAGTATCTAATCTAAACCTACTCTCTTTCAGTTTGAAGCCATTCCCCCTTGTCACATCACTGTATGCCCTTGTAAAAAGTCCCTCTCCATCTTTCTTAGGGGCACCCTTCAGATATTGTGAGGCCAAAATTAGGTTCCAAAGCCTTCTCCTCTCCAGGGTGAACAATCCCACATCTTTCAGCCTTTCCTCATATCACAGGTGCTCCATCCCCCTGATCACCTTGGTGGTTTCCTCTGGAGTTGCTCCAACATGTCTATGTCCTTCCTGTGCTGGGACCCCAGAGCTGGATGCAGCACTGCAGGTGGGTCTCACCAGAGCAGAGCAGAGGGGCAGAATCCCCTCCCTCACCTGTTGCCCACAATGTTTTGGATGCAGCCCAGGACATACTTGGATATCTGGGCTGTGAGTGCACATCGATGGCTCACGTCCAGCCTCTCACCCACCAGCTCCCCCAAGTCCTTCTCAGCAGGGCTGCTCTTGGTCTGTTCATCTCCCCGTCTGTGTTAACACTGGGGGTTGTCCCGACCCACCTGATGAGGTGGATAAAGTTCCTTCTGGGTCAGAGGGTTCACCTAGGGCAAGACAGTCTCTATCCCACATATCATAACCCCCTCTTTTAATTAAAAAAACAGGGGTACTTTTCGTAGGTGCCTCCATGGAAACTGCAGGCCTCTCAGTCTCTCTTTAGTGACTGAGAAAATTATGGAAGAGATTATTCTGGGAGGTATTGAAAAATACCTGAAGAGCAATGTAGTCATCAGTCATAGCCAGCATGGCTTTATGAGGAGAAAGTCCTGCTGGTCAAACCTAATTTCCCTTTGCAACAAGGTAACCCATCTAGTGGATCAAGGGAAACTAGCTGATGTAGTTTTAGGATTTTAGTAAAGTTTTTGATACTGTTTCTCATAGGATCCTTCTGGACAAAATGTTCAGCAAAGAGCTGGATAAACACATCACATGGTGGGTGAGCAGCTGGCTGTCAGGTTGGGCACAAATGAGGTGACATCAGATCGGCAACCTGTCACTAGTGGGTTCCACAGGGCTCCATTCCAGGGCTAGTGGTCTTCAACATCTTCATAAATTACTTAAACACAGGACTCAAAGGTACACTAAATAAATTTGATGATGACACTAAATTGAGAGAAACTGTTGATTCCCTCAAAGACAGAGAGGCCCTGCAGAGAGACCATATGAAGTTCACAGTAAGAGCAAGTGCTGGATTCTGCACCTAGGATGGGGCAACCACTGATTTTTGTTCAGACTGGGCAATGATGTTCTGGAGAGCAGTGCTGGGAGAACGACCTGAGGGTCCTGGTCAATGGCAAGTCAAATATAAATCAGCAGTGCCGTGGCAGCCAGGAGAGACAACCGTGTCCTGGGGGACATCAGGCTAAGCATCACCAGCCAGGCAAGGGAGGGGATTGTGCAGCTCTGCTCTGCACTGGGGTAGCCTCACCTTGAATATTGTGGCAGTTTCGAGCACCACAATATAAGAAAGATATTAAGCTATTAGAGAACATCCAAATAAGAGTAATAAAGATGGAGAAGGGTCTAGAGGGGAAGCCGTATGAGGAGCTTGGTCTGTTCAGCTGAAGGGAGACAGAGAAGACTTCATCACAGTCTACAACTTCCTCTTGAGTGGCAATAGAGGGCCAGGCACTGATCTCTGTGGGGATCAGTGACAGGACCTGAGGTAATGGCATGAAACTGTGTGTCAGCAGAGGTTTAGGTTGGATGTTGGGAAAACATTTGTCACCCAAAGGGTGGCTGGGCACTGGAACAGACTCCCCAGGGAAGTGGTCACAGCACCATGCCTGACAGAGTTGAATAAGTGTTTGGGCAAGGCTCTCGGGAACCAGGTGTGATTCTGGGGGCTGTCCTGTGCAGGGCCAGGAGTTGGACTCCATGTTTCTTTTGGGTCCCTTCCAACTCAGGATATCCTGTAGTTCAGTGAACAGAATATTACTGTTCTTTCTTGCAACAAAAAATATATATATCTTAATAGAAAAAAGGCTATTAAACTCAGTTTGAACTAGTGTACAGGAGTACATCCACAACTATAAATTGATTATAAAGATGATACTTCAATCAATATTTTGCAAAGCAAAACAGATCTCCAAGAACCTTTCTGAGAATGATTCAAACCAAGAATTTTGGATGCAAAGTATCCTTGTAGGCAAAGAACAAGGCAGTACATCTCATAACTCTTCTAGTTCTCAAAAGTAAAACCCATATCATCTCTGAACTGGGCAATGTGACCTATCGGGAAACCTTCTAAAGCTAACAATTCCAACTAGAGTTTATTCCATGGGTACAAGGATACATTGTGAGGACAGGGCAAGAGTTCTTCAATGTATCTTCATATTTTAAGGAGATCCATGTCTCTATTATACTTTCATGTTCAATTATAAGATGAGTTTAACAATTAAAATAATGGACAGACTTTCAATACTTCTTAGCCTCCATAATTGAGGCCCGATTTTCAGAACAGACATTTGTGTCAAGCACAAAGTACTTGGACATCCAGTCAGTAGTGTAACAATGGGACCTGCTACACGATTAGCAATTTTAAACCGAAAGACTCTAAACTAGTAATTGCAATAGGAATTCAATGCACTTGGCATCGCGTAGTTTTCTCTTTCTTCAAAAGAGCAGGCACACAATACACAGGAGTCAATTCTTTCTCTTGGTTTAGCAAGGCTCATGATTCTTTGATTCATAATCCTTATAAATCAGGAATAGTGTGGAAATGAATGTGTATCAAATTTCAAGATGCAAGGCGAATCACTTCCCCAAATCTGTAGCACTTAGAAGATAGATAGCGTGGAGAAGAATATATTTCTGATCCATCGTGTTATATATTTGCTTGATATCAATATTCCATTTATTCCACATTTATTCTACTTAAACAAGTCCACAGGTGCAGTTACATTGTAATTTATCAGTTGGATTAAAAATTGTACTTAAAATGTTATTTTAAAATTCTTTTTTCTCTAGAACTTTGCAGTGGTCTCTGGGAACTGCTATATACAGTTCTGGCAAGCACTGGCTTCGCAGCTGCTATGAGTTAGTTAGTTATTTATGCACCGTCGTAGTTGACAAAATGGGTTTGATTTTGTTAAAGCCACAGTGAATGGGCACAAATCACGATTTTCGAATGAGCTCTTTACTACCAGCTGTTAATGTTTGAGGCTGAAAGCCATTGCTCAGACATTACTCACCCTTCAGAAGTGTGAAAGCCATAGACATTGCTCAGCCTTCCTCTCTCAAGTGTAACTTGGCCCTCAAGTGGAAAGGACAACCTCTAAAATCTCAGTCTCTGGGCCAACACATGCCTAGACCAGAAAAATAGCCTCACAGTACTTACTTCAGTGGATCAGGAAACATTTTCAGGACCAGGGCCTTGACTTCTTATAGACTTTCATCTATCATTTCCAAGCAGGCAGCTGACAAAGTGCTAAGGGTGGATCTTACAGCATGAAACACTTGGGAAGAGGCTGAAGCTCAGTTTCCTTCAGATCATCCAGTAGCTGCCAGATTCCGTGGGGCTTTCTGTCACCAGTGACCTCAACGGTATTTGAAGCTGTAATTTCACACCAGCAAAGTCCTGTCACAGCAAGGTCCTGGGCTGTTTTGGGATGATGTGGTGTTGTTCAGTGGTCAGCAATGAGGGAACTGTGTGAAGCCTCTTATTTCATCAGTGCCACATCAGTGGAGTATCCCAATATTGCTCATTATGATACCAGCCTGGCCTTCTCACTGATCAGCACTTTGGGACTTAGGGTGGGTATCAGACAAGTTCACCCGGTGGATGATATATCTTTGCAGCCCCTCCTGATGGCAAATGTAGAACTGATTCTGAGCACTCTTGGGAGAAATGCTTGGAAGGTGAGGCAAGACATCTTCTACTGTAAGTGGCATTTGCTGTGAAAAGCGTCGTGAAATATCTGTCTCTGCATGCTGTAATCAATCTGGCATGTTGTCCAACACTGATCATCACTATAGTTACAGGGCTGATCTATTTTGGGTCTAAAATGGCAAAGAGATGTAGAATTTCATCCATTTGTAGGCTGGTCAGATACTACAGTGATACAGGCATTGAAAATGACTGTGGTAAATCAAGTAACTAAACAGAGGTAGGCAGACAGATATGTGGATTTTGAAATGCAAAACATTACGCCTATCTGTTTTGATCAAATTACACATTCTGCAGCATAGAATCTGGCATGCTTATATGTAAGGCACCATGTGCATTTATGGTTCTGTGTAAGTAATACACTTCAGACAAAGACCACTAACTAACCAATTGAAACAAAGAGAAATCACACAAAAATTATGGTATAAGTACTGTTCTATTCCTTTTTTAAAAAATTTAAAACCCAGGAGACAGAATATCTGGTATAAATTGTGGAATAACACCTCTGTATATGACTTTTTTGGGTTTGTTTTTGTTTGTTAGCAGTGCAGACTATACTATAGCAAACTGTTTGACGTTCTTAACAAATGCAATCAGTCTGATCACATTAAATGGGAAGGTTCCTGTAAAAACTGTCCTGCTTATGAATTTGAAAACTATGCTTTTAATAATTTAAATATCATCTATCAATACTGCGATGTCCCACTGAATAATTAAGAAGCAT